GCCCTGGCCCCTCCCCCCGCCCCTCCCCCCAGGCGGTTTTGTCCCTTTTTAGAAATAAAGAAAATTCGCTTGAGCCCAGGGCGGCCTCGGGTGCTGTTTTTGGGTTAAAACCGGGTTTAAAAGGGGTTTGGGGGGGTTAAAACCGGATTTACGGAGTTAAACCTGGCTTAAAGCGGGGCTGGAATTGGGTCTGGGGGGGTTAAAGTTTGCCTTAGGGGGTTAAACTCGATGGAAACGGGGTTGGAGGGGTTAAAACCGAGCTTAGGACTTTGAAGTTAGGGTGATGTGGGCGCAAAACTGAGCCTGGGAGGTTAAACTGAGCTTAGAGGGAGTTTGGGGCCTAAACTCGCTCCTGGCGCTGATTTTGGGGCTTAAACCCCGATCTGGGTCTGGTTATTGGGTTTAAACCCGGGTTTAAACCCGGGCCTGAGCGCGAGGCCGGGCTTTAAGGGGCTGGGCTGGGTTTGGGGCTTTGGGCCTGGCCTTAGGCCTCGGCCTGGATTTACCCTTTAGGCCTCGGCCTGGATTTACCCTTTAGGCCTCGGCCTGGATTTATCCGTTAGGCCTGGGCTTGGTTTTACCCTTTAGGCCTGGATTTATCCTTTAAGCCTGGGCCTGGTTTTATCCTTTAGGCCTCGGCCTGGATTTATCCTTTAGGCCTGGGCTTGGTTTTATCCTTTAGGCCTCGGCCTGGATTTATCCTTTAAGCCTGGGCCTGGTTTTATCCTTTAGGCCTCGGCCTGGATTTATCCTTTAGGCCTGGGCCTGGATTTACCCTTTAGGCCTGGGCTTGGTTTTATCCTTGAGGCCTGGATTTATCCTTTAGGCCTGGGCCTGGATTTACCCTTTAGGCTTGGGCTTGGTTTTACCCTTTAGGCCTGGATTTATCCTTTAGGCCCGGGCCTGGTTTTGTCCTTTAGGCCTGGGCCTGGTTTTATCTTTAGGCCCGAGCCTGGTTTTATCCTTTAGGCCTGGATTTACCCTTTAGGCCTGGGCCTGGTTTTGTCCTTTAGGCCTGGATTTACCCTTTAGGCCTGGGCCTGGTTTTATCTTTAGGCCCGAGCTTGGTTTTATCCTTTAGGCCCAGGCCTGGTTTTATCTTTAGGCCTCGCTGGGGGTCCAGACCCGTTCCAGGCCCATTTCTGAGGCCTCCGTGGAGCCGCAGGGTCTTTAAGCTAAAGCTCGGCTCATCAACGATAATGTCCTTTAGGCCTGGGCCTGGTTTTATCTTTAGGCCCGAGCTTGGTTTTATCCTTTAGGCCCAGGCCTGGTTTTATCTTTAGGCCTCGCTGGGGGTCCAGACCCGTTCCAGGCCCATTTCTGAGGCCTCCGTGGAGCCGCAGGGTCTTTAAGCTAAAGCTCGGCTCATCAACGATAATTAATTACACTAATTAAGGATTTAATGACTTTGTTTCCCGTCCTGCGCGGCCTCGGACCTGGGCTCGGTTGCCATGGCAACCCGGCGGGCTGTGGGCGCCGCCATCTTGGCTGTGGCCGGCGATGACGTGGCGGGGAAGGGGGAGGGGATAACGGGGGGGCTGCCCCGCCCCCCACGGGGTTTTTGGGGGGCTCCCGGGTGGGGGAGGGGCTCCCGCGCGGGCCGGGGGCGCCCCCAGAGCCCCCCGTGGGTCCCCTCTCCGTCCCGCCGCCATTTTGGGTGCTGGGGGGCGCCATCTTGGGGCGGCCGGCGGTGCGGTGCGCATGCGCGGTTGCCATGGCGGCGTCCATGGGAAAGGAGGGGCGCCGCCATGTTGGGTGTGGCGCCCTGAGGGGCTCGGGCAGCTCTTCCTCCTCCTCCTCCTCATTTCTTCCTCCTCCTCTCCCCCATTTTTCTTGCTCCTCCTCCTCCTCCCTCTTCCTCCCTTTTCCTTCCTCCCTTTTCTTCCTCCCTCTCCCCCCAGACCCCAAATTCCTCTCTCTGCCCCTCGGGGGGTTCAGAGGAGGGCGCAGAAGAATTTCTTCTCGCGGAAGGGATTCTCGGAGGTGGGCACGGGCGTGAGCAGGGGGTCCTCGCACGCGTGGGCCTCGCAGTAGCTCAGCAGCTCCGCGGCCGCCTTGGACACCTGGGGGGGACGGGGTCAGGACCCCCAAATGGACAATGGGGACCCCGAAATACACCTGGGGGGGGAAAGGGGGTCAGGGCCCCCAAAATGGACATGGGGACCCCAAAATGTACCTGGGGGCACCGAAAATAAACCTGGGGGGGAAACGGGGTCAGGACCCCCAAAATGCACATGGGGACCCCAAAATGTACCTGGGGGGGACGGGGTCAGGGCCCCCAAAATGGACATGGGGACCCCGAAAATAAACCTGGGGGGAAACGGGGTCAGGGCCCCGAAATGGACATGGGGACCCCGAAAATACACCTGGGGGGGGAAAGGGGGTCAGGACCCCCAAAATGCACATGGGGACCCCGAAATGTACCTGGGGACCCCGAAAATACATCTGAAACTCCTAAAAATACACCTGGGGGGGAAACGGGGTCAGGGCCCCAAAAATGCATCTGGGGACCCCGAAATACACCTGGGGACCCCGAAAATGCATCTGGGGTGGGGGGAAACGGGGTCAGGACCCCGAAAATGCATCTGGAGACCCCGAAAATGCACCTGGGAACATTGAAAATGTACCTGGAACCCCAAAAATAGAACTGGGAACCCCAAAAATGCACCTGGGGACCCCAAAAATACACCTGGGGACCCCGAAAATACATCTGAAACTCCTAAAAATACACCTGGGGGGGAAACGGGGTCAGGGCCCCAAAAATGCATCTGGGGACCCCGAAATGTGCCTGGGGACCCCGAAAATGCATCTGGGGTGGGGGGAAACGGGGTCAGGACCCCCGAAAATAAACCTGGGGACCCCAAAAATACACCTGGGGACCCCGAAAATGCATCTGGGGTGGGGGGAAACGGGGTCAGGACCCCGAAAATGCATCTGGAGACCCCGAAAATGCACCTGGGAACATTGAAAATGTACCTGGAACCCCAAAAATACAACTGGGAACCCCAAAAATGCACCTGGAAACCCCAAAAAACCATCTGGAAACACCAAAATTACACCTGGAAACACCCAAAGCACACCTGGAACTCCTAAAAATATACCTGGGAACCCCAAAAATACACCTGGAGACCTCAAAATTACAACTGGAAACCCAAAAAACCTCTGGAAACCCCAAAAATATACCCGGAACCCCTAAAACCACACCTGGAAACCCCAAAAAACCATCTGGAAACACCAAAATTACAACTGGAAACGCCAAAATTACACCTGGAAACCCCAAAAATATACCCTGAACCCCTAAAACCACACCTGGAAACCCCAAAAAACCATCTGGAAACCCCAAAATTACACCTGAAAACACCAAAACCACACCTGGAAATGCCAAAAATACACCTGGAGACCCCAAAAATGCACCCAAAACTCCCCAAAACAACCCCGAATTCCCAAATCCCCCCTGGAATTTCTGAATCCATCCCTGGAACCCCAAATCCTGCCCTGGCTCCCCCCCAAAATCCTGATTTTTTTACCCCTCCTAAATCCAGTTTTAACCCTTTAAATCCCCCAAATCTCATTTTAACCCCCCCAAAATCCCCTTTAAAACCCCCCAAATCCCATTTTGCTCCCAAAATTTCCTAATTTCCCCCTTTTTTACCCCAAATCCCCTTTAAATCCCCCAAATCTCATTTTAACCCCCCCAAAATCCCCTTTAAAACCCCCCAAATCCCATTTTGCTCCCAAAATTTCCTAATTTCCCCCTTTTTTACCCCAAATCCCCTTTAAATCCCCCAAATCTCATTTTTACCCCCTCAAAATCCCCTTTAAATCCCCCCAAATCCCTTCTCACCCCCCCCAAATCTCCCTCAAACCTCCCCAGACCCCTCAAATTCTCTTTTTTTTCACCCCCTTTCCCTTTCCCCCCCATTTTCGCAATTTTTCACCTTTTTTCTTGTTTTTCCCCATTTTCCCCCCAATTTTTTCCCCATTTTTCCCCTCTTTTTTCTCCATTTTCCCCCCATTTTTTCCCATTTTTATCCATATTTTCCCTTTATTTTTTCCAATTTCCCCCCATTTTCC